TGCAGAGCCATGAATTACTCCGGCGTCTAAGCTCGACTTCGAGACACTGCGATCGGATTTGACATAGAAAATGTATTAGTTTGCACAACACAAAAGTCGTGGTCTTTGGTTGGCGAAGATATCTTGTTCCGTACAGCAGCGGGTTTAGGTTCAGGCTTAAAGCCTTGGCATCTTCGCTAACCAAAATCCTTCAGGGCATGCTTAGTTTGTACAGGGTCAATACCGTACGCACCGAAACATCTGTAGCATCACTCCTAGGATGCCCGTAGCTTTTATATGCCGTGTTTCCATCATGACATACGCAGAACATATTTGATCTTCGGCTGAATTCGGCACACTGAACTTATGTTTAACTTGTCACTCATTTCAGTGGAACCTACGAGGGTAAGATCAAAGGCTACTGCTGGGAAGACGTAATCAGTCGTACCGCGAAACGGTCTTGGTGTCTGGATTGCAACAGTCAGGACAAGAAATCAGACGTATTTGAAGTGAATGCCTTGCTGATGCACAACTCGGTAAAAATCATGGCGCATTTAAACGTTTATCTTTTAAATAGGACATATGAATCGTATAAACATCAGAGAGAATATTAATTACGTGCCATACATGTGCTAGGTATCTGAGTAATTCAGAAAATACCTCATAGGCATGAGGTTTAAAGTCTTGTGCAAGACCAGGAAGAATCTGAGTGCTTTTATTTAAAAAGTTTACTTTGAGCAACCCTGAGGAGAAGCTGATTGTTGCCTACAGTGTCGGTAGCGGAGAGCGCAATAAGGTTTACTTTGGAAAAGTCTGCCAAAATTTGAATATTCTGATTAAAGAGCACTTATTATGTGTTATTTGTGCTGTTTGATGCTTTTAGCCATTAATCGACAAACTATATATGATTTCAGCAACTGGTTCAGAATCAGATATGTTGTTTTATATTTATAAATATCAGTTATTTTGTCACGTTAACGATTTTCTCTTTGGAACCTGCCCTTTTTTCATTGAATCATCATTACTTTTTTAAATTACAATTGGTTCCCTTTATCTCCGTTGCCGGGAAGATATAATGTTACGTGTTTACATTTGTTTATTGTTCTTATGCATTTTCTGCATCCA